TATGTTAGGAGTGTGGTTAGTGCAACCGGGCTTTTGTCGTTAAAATGACAGATTCTTATTTTGCAAAGATGTTGATATCTAAAGTGGAAAATTCCAGAGATCAAGCTAAAAATTGTCCCAATTATTTGTCTAAACTTATTTACGTGAATGAGTATTTTTTAGGTATTTTCATACGGTTACTTATCTGGTTAACGCGTTTCTTTTTAGGTTAGGCCATATATTTTAATTTAATTACCTCTCTTTCTTCTACCTATATCGCAATCCGAAACCCATTTATTAATGGAGTCTGATATTGGTGTTGTAGTTTTTTACTAGAGCACTCCGTCGTAATAATCAGTTAAATTTACTTACAGAAAGCCTAATACGTTGATCGTTGATGCAATTTATGCCTGGTTTTAACCTACCAGTGCAAAATATATTTTCTTCCCTTCTGAGATAACGTTAGTATTTTGCAATATTGACATTGTGATCAATATGTTTACTGTGGCAGTTTTCCAATGCGCTATAGTCGACTGAAATGTCTGGAGTTGTACCTGATATAGGATTTTTTTAAAAAGAACCATGCATCCATTTTTCCGCCGTCTTTGATATCCCATATTCCTTTAGAATTATCATAACTTACAGACGCGCTACTTTCCACCAAATTTCATCAAAATCCAAGAGAGTCGAGTTGTGTAGACTATGACGATCTGATCCATGCACAATAAAAAGCAAGTAAAAGCTGCATGAGGTCATTTAACATTTTAAAGTAGAATGAATTGTTAACATATTCCTACAAAGGTTTTATACCCAAAGTGCCCTCTACACATTTAAATTTGTTCTATGCTACAATACTTAGAAGAGACAGACCAAAAGTTTTATTATGACATCAAATTGCAAACCTCTCTTATAACTTTCTTGACATGTTAACAATCTTTTTGTTTTTTACAAAAAGTAATTCAGTGCTAGAAAAAAATATCTTCAATCCAGCTACGATCCAATTCAACTCGAATGTTAAGAGACGCGATATAAAACCCAATAAACCCAACATCGGTTATAAAGTTTGTTAACCATTCAATTATCCTCGTTTATAAGCCTTTAACAAACATCGTTATTGGAGCATTAAAAGTGTTATGTTGTGGTAATAGCGTATATTAATTTAACTGATATATAAATAATATGATTGAATAAATACATAAAACTACTACATAAATGCCAAATTAATCAGACGAGTAATGAAAAAATAAATTATTGAATACTGCACATGAAACAAAATTATTCGCAGCTAAACGCATTTTAGTTTAAATATGCATGTCAAATAAATCACACACATTTCACCTGTAATAATCGGGTGGCACAACGAAAACGAAACAGATTGAAGCAGTTTTTGAAAAAACGCAAAAAACAGGCCAATTTTGATTGGAAGGGGGACGTATTTTACTAAATTACACTCCTGGCCGCAACCACTTCAATAATTGTAAATTGAACGTTGGGTCAAGTGACACATCATTGTAAAGGGCTCTTCATTTCCTCCACGCCTCCGGTTTACTTTTAAAACTAACTAACAAGTTACAGTAAATGCTCGAACTGTTAACCCCCAACTTCCACACAGCAATGTAGGTTTTGTAGGAACCGTCTGTACGTCCTTCGTCTTGTCTAGTTATGGTCTAATCCTACCCTTGTTTTTATATTTTATCTCAATGTTACCTACGAACTTATCAATTAATTAATTTCTATTGTATGTGTTTGTTTGGTTTTGCGTTGAATACGAATGGGTTCTGATAGTGTGGCGTGTTTCTGAGTGGCATTTTGTGTTGTTTACTTGTGGACAGGTAAGTTCAGTAGGTGAATCTGTGAAGGATCTCGTGCCTACCGGTATTTTTTCCTGGTGCTAGCATTAATATTATTAGGAGGAAAATACGCTCTCGCCATTTATGTTTGCATAATGACTTTTTAAACTTGTTTATAGTCTGTTAATTAATGCTCTGGTCTTGTTTTGCTAACATGAAACATTCGGTCTCTGGGAAAATAGCACATTGACATAGCCAAGTGTGCGTTGCCGTAGAATCAACACAATCCTGGTTAACTTCGTGTGGAAATCGTCCATGTAAATTCCTTTGGTACCATATCTCATATCTGTATCTGATTTGCTATACAAGTATTGTCGTAAATTGTGTATTTGGTGCAATAGTTTCATGTCTTTAAGTCCTCCACCCTCTTGTGGTCATTGCGAACGAGGAAGGTAAAGTCGCATAGTGCACTTCGAATTGAGTAATAAATGTAATTATTTAACTCAATCCACTTCAGCAGTAAAATTTTATGCATTGCGTGTCGAGGAATAAATTCAGGTTAAACGCCATGTTAAGTGCGCATAACAATTCAATAACCTCTAATTAAATCAAACCGCAAGTATTAAATTTAGATTAGGAAAGTGTAATGATTACATCAAATGTTTTTCAAATAAAAAAAATTAGAAGAAAAACTATGTGTGCAAAAGTTAGGTATTGAAGAAACTAAACGTTTTCCTATGATTTTAGGATGAATATGTTGTAAGAATTTTTTTTTCGAAACCTCCAAGGAGGAGGGGCACCTTAAAGCCTAAATCAACTATATTTTAAAATGGCAGGATATAACATTAGTTTCATATACATTCTTCCCTTTCTATGGTAGAATATAAATATTTGCGTGGTAGTCGATATTCGAATTTGTTGCAATTACCTTTCCGAGATGCCCTATTCCAAGCTGAGATGGCTTCGTGCAGTAGGCAATACATTAACTGGAAAAAGAAGGCATAACCTATTTTAATCTACCTGCTGCTTTGCCCTTTAATTAGATTAAAATATAAATGTTCTTTCATATAACGTAATATTCCGTCTATAACATTCGTCGGAACTACTTCATAAGATCGTATTCCAAAAGAACCCTTACATATCAAAAACGCGATTCCTATATGAAGGAAGTTGCGGATAAGTTTGTTTTCTTTTTTCTTTATTTATGGCGTTTTTGTTTTACAAATAGGCGTAGTGGCAGGTAATGTGCGAGACGTACGTTGTACATCAAATAAAAATTTAAGAGTGCCCTTGGTGTTTCCTTTAGTATATGCACGGAGCTTTTCAAGTATCGTTCTCATTACTAAAGCCACGCCAACCAAAACGTGATAATCACTGACAGCCTAATGTCTTTAACGATAATTTGTTGTTATGCTGTGTATAACATTACCTTTCCCCGGGTTATATTTTCTCATTAGTATTGAGACGGCCCAATAAAATAGACGGTTAACGTATTTCTTTAAATACTCTATTAAGTTGAAAATTACGTTAGTAAAATATTAAACTGCTCCTTTTGAAAGTGTACCGAGGCAACCGGTGCAACACCGGCATTATAAATCGTCACTTAAAAATTGCAAAACATCACATCACATTCAGGGCTGTTTGTGTAAATAGCTTGGATCGTAGCTCAATGTACCCCAGAGGGAAATCTGCAAAGAACCTGTCGTGTATCAGATCAGCATGAAATAGCTACCGATTCAAATGTGGGAGTAAATTTATTCAAATTAAGTTGCCTTCTTGGTTACACCCAATTTTAACTACTTCAGTCCAAGTATAGAAGAATTACGCTATGCTAGACTGTATGTAGATACTTATCAAATTATTTTTTAAATTGCGATTTATGTAAAGTAGGATTTTCATTAGTTTGCGCCAAGCCGCCAAGAAAAAGTATTTTTAATCTTATTCGTTATTTTGAATGAAAATCTGATGATTCAGATATCAACCTCATGATTCGAAGTCGACGAAATCGCTGGTGAACGGCGCCTACTTAGTCCAGCCTAAATAGCGGAAAATTATATTTTCCCAATTTCTATTCATTTCACCTGCCTGAAAAACCCACTTTCGCCCGGTAACTAATTTTTTTTGTAAAAAAATATTATATGGCCTAGACTAACTGTATTTTAATTATTACTTTAGTTCGTGTATTTCTGTGGGCTATGCTAAGGTTTTTGTCTCAAAGAAGGTTTCCCTGATATCGCCTAGGTGTGTGCGTAATATATTTGATACGTTCTCGTCTTTTCCTACGCACGAAATTATGAGGTTTGATTAAATTTATTTCCTCATTTCTGTGTGAAAACAACCGTCCAGTTTTAACACCGACTGCTACCCAGATTCGAAAGTGCCGCGAAACGTCCATCGTTTTGACATGAAAGTAATAGCGGTTCTGCTCGTCAGTCGCTTCGGTTTCTGCTGCCAAGTAATGCGGGCGTTGTTATTACAATTAAAAAGATTTTTTATTAAAAGTATTTTCTTTGACAGTCCAGTTAATTATTATCATTCGGGCGACTACCTAGTAGAAATACCGCTATTATACATTGTCCGATAATATACGGCAACCTGAACATCCCTGGAATCTACTACGTTTTTCATCGAATGAATCAAGTGAACTATAAACTAGAAGGGGCTTGTATACTACTGTGGATATACTATTTTAACTATACATAAGGACTTAATACCGGGATAGAGCTTAATGTATGTTAGTAATGGTAATGATCACCATAAACTTTCAGGGCAAACACAACACTTCTCACACCCAATTAGCTCCTTAATGAAATTTCTCTCAGTACGCATCCGCACCCAGCACAACAAAATAATTCAATTCTGACTTTAAATTCCTGATTTTAAGCAAACAATGGTCCAGATCAAACTCCTCAAATTCCAAAAAGGTTATTTACCAAATTTTGAGAGCACTTGAAATGAACTTTGGGCACGGATAAACGTAATTGAACACGAGACATCTCTCTTCGTCGTTAAAGGACTCGAATAAACACACGACTTGCATGATATATTTCAATAATAAAATTTATTCTACAACCACAAATGAAATTAAACATGAAATCCTAATTTAAAAACTTGGA